CATTTCTGCCTAAGCCCAATTTCGTTTTTAATTTCTTCTTTTAGTCCGCATTCTTTAGTTGTGGGCTTTGCCTCTTGAGCCCGTCTCTTTTATTTCTGTAGAAGAAGACTTTGGCTTCTTCGTTATTCTTTCATTTCCCATCGTCCACTTCTCTCGTCTTCTATTCAAGGGAACAGAAAACCAAATCCCTAAAATCCCAAATCGGTTGCCTGATCACAATATCCGCCGCCGAATGTCGGCGTCGTTGATTTGATCGGTGCAACTCTGACTTCTAACCAAGAACGACCGTTACTATGGTTCGCACCTCTCCAAACTACGTTCAAACGAGGGTGTTTGAGTTTTGAGGAATCTACGCTACCGCTACTCCTATGGAGATTCCCGTGGAGAGCTCCGCGACTACGACTACTTCTACCAACTATGGAGATCCTTCCTGGAAGGAGAGCTCCGCGAAGGAGTTACAGAGAAAAGGTAAAGTTTTGACAGAGTTGTTCTGTGTTGATTTTGGTGTCCCTTCTCTCTCCTTGCTCCACTGCTTTTATTCGAAAAACTGCTTCGTAGTCTTCACGCAACTCCGTGTCAACTGCTTCGTCGTCCGGAGAACTCCCACGTGTCTCAACCGCTTCGTTCCTCAAACTTCTTCGCGTGAACTTTACGTGAGTTGTTTTCATGATCCCGCGATGTCGTTTCCTTTCCCAAACAACTCTGTTTGCTTTTCCTTTTGTGACATTGTTTTTTATTAAACACTGTCGTTTGCTAGTACAGCGGTACCGTTGGGCTTGCTCGCGGTACCGTCTTTAATACTACGACACCGTTTTAACTCTCCGCGGTGCCGTTTTAATTCTTGCGGCATCGTTTTTAAATCCGCGGTACCGTTTTTATTTTCCGCGATGCCGCTTGTCTCCATGCGGTACCGCTTCTCCCCTTCCGACAAGGAATAAAAATAATAAAAATAATAATAAATACTATTTTTTCAACACCAATACTATGTGCGCGGCCCCCATCCTGTTTTCTGATAAACAGTGTCGTTTCCAGTGTCGCGGTACCGGTGAGCTTCCTTGCGGTACCGTTTTTCTGATCCGCGGTGTCGTTGGGTTTATTCGCAGTGCCGTTTTTAGCCAAACAACACCGTTTCTCAGTCTCGCGATGCCGTCGAGCTTTGAGGTTCGCGACACCATTTTATCTCTTTGCAGCATTGCTTCACTCCAAACGGTGTTGTTACTCTCCTCCTCCGACAAGGAAAAAATAAAATAAAAAACATTCCTTGTCCAACAGCAACACATGTCCTGCGCATGACTCACACATGGTCTGCAACCAATGTCGTTTCAAATACCGCGGTACCGCCGAGCCTCTTCGCGGTCTCGCTTAAATTCTCCGCGGTATTGCTCGACTCCAAACGACATCGTTTTGGCCATGCGATATCGAATTAAATGCCGAGACTCATTATTACGGCATTGAATTTAGGCCAAAAATATTTTAGGTGTAAACAATGCCCCCACAACTTGGCTTATAAGAATTTATGAACCAAGTTGTTGACACAACTTAAATCACCTAAAATAATTAGGTTAAATCAACCAACCAATCTGCTAATAAAATAAAATTGTTAAAGCCAAAACACCCACCCTTGGCCTTGAAATTGCAACGTTGCTTCCGAATACTTGATTTTTATTTTATTATTATTATTTTTATTTTTTTTTATTTTTTTATTCTCCTCTTCCAGCGCTGCATGCCGCCATTAGAATTTTTTTTTTAATGCGGCCAGTCAGCCTTGCATTCGCAGCTCTGATCCTCGTCCAAGCAGCCCTGATTTCGATTTTTTGATTTTTTTTGATTTTATATATATTTCTCCCGCAGCGCTGTTTTAGCCGCCCTCTTTTTCTTTTTACATTTTTTTTTTCGCGGAGCTGTTTGCAACAACGGCAGGGTTGAGAGAAATTTTTATTATTTATTGTTTTTTTTATTCTCATTCAGGGCTGATTGGCTGCCGCAGCGCTTACTCCTTCCCTTTTTTTTATCTCAGACCTGGCGGCCTCCTCCCTCAAAGCCGCTAATTAAAAAACTCTTTTTTTTAACCAGGCCGCATTTTTTTTTAAACCAAAGCGACCCATTCTGAAAATTTAATATTGCTCGCAACGATGCGGCAAGCTTCGCCATGCTCCTTTTTATATATATAGTAATTTTCTCGTGGCCTAAATTAGCCACACTCTATTTACTTAATAATATCTAAATAAATAAATAACGGCTACACTATGGCATAAATCATTATGCCGAAAGTCCACACCCACTGCCAACTCCATGGATCAAACCAAACAAGCCATCCGTAAAGTCCATGATTCATCACAACTGGCTTCACACGCGTTGGTTTTGATGTTTTGGAATCAATGGTGGTTTGTAGCTCTCCAGTTCGTCGAGCTCGAACACCTTGGTTTGAAATTCCACGAGCTCGATTTGGCTTCATCTTAGCCACAAGGTCGTGGCAGAGAAAATCACCGGTGTTTTTTACTCTTGGCGGGACATTATTGAAGTTTTCTAACGTCTTTGTCCTGTCAAATCGACCATGTGGCATCGCTTGCCCAGACTGGTCTTGTTTTGTGAGCTGCACACAATTATGACGTTGTTGAGTTTGAGGCTTACGAGCTTCACCACCAGTCATGTGGTTATTTTGATTAATGCACTTATCACAGAACCACTTGGTATCTTTTGAATTTTCACGTGAGATTGAAAGTTTTCGGGCATTTAGCTTGCCCCCCTGTCCGGAAATCATGGAAGACTTGTTCAAAAACCAGCATTGGTGTGACAACTCCATGTTGGGGTTGATTGAACTTGCCCCCCTGTCCACTCAGTGGAGGCTTTGGGGACAAATTACAATGAGGGTTCTGTTCATTCATGCCCACTTTGGTGGCATTAGATTTTTTCACGTGGTCACCACCTCCATCTTGAGTAGTGTTTGTGGTTATCCTAGTTTGATTTTTCATAAAATGGGGTGGATGTGGCAAACTTATTTGCCACTTATGGTATTGTTTTTCTTTCAACCGGCCATGCGGTGGGATCTCATGCCCCCCTAGCGGCTTAGATTGAAACCTATCACGATGTTGCTTGGACAACCCCTCATACGCGAGCTTGCTATGCTCAACGTGATTGTAACCAGACTGTCCACCCTGATTCTTATTTTCATTCTTATTAGACATATGTTGATACTGACCTCTTTGTAGTGGCTTCTGCAGGCCACCTCCAACTTGGGTGTCCTTAAGACCAATGTTGTTCACTGGAAAAGACACATTGGGATTCCTTGCTTCTGGCAACAATGTTGTAGCCATACTCGTCGATGGCGTTTGGTTGACCTTGGCTAGCCGATCAACCATCAAATCATCGCACGCAACAGACATGGTTTCAGATTTAAACACATCAAAATCACATGTGGCTCTATGTATTGACATACTAAAATCAGAAACTCAGTCAACCAACTTATCAAACCATCGATCTATGTTGTTTTCAAACTTATCCATTTTCTTTTCAAGATTATAAAATTGGACATTTTCCTCTTGGTGAAACTCCTTCATGGATTGGCGAAACTCCTCTATGGATTGACGTAGATACAGGATTTCATCATGTAGCCGCTCTTCCATCCCTTGAGTACGTCTATCTGCCTCGTTCGCCTGACCAACTTCAATGCTGGGCGCCTCCTCCTCCACAGGTACGTGTGGAAGATCACGATCTTGATTTCCTCGACGCGGAGCCGTGTCAAACACACGTGTCCCACTGGGCGTGCCAAATTGTTTCCTCGGAAAAACCAAATGCCACCGTCGGTGCCGAATTCGTTTCCGGCGATGTTGATTCGATGTTTCGCGATGAAAACTCTTGCGGTGCCGTTGATCGAATGCACCGCTGATAGCTGAAATCGAGACGACCGTCAAATATCCGCCGCCGAATGTCGGCGTCATTGATTTGATCGGTGCAACTCTGGCTTCTAACCAAGAACGACCGTTACTACGGTTCGCACCTCTCCAAACTACGTTCGAACGAGGGTGTTTGAGTTTTGAGGAATCTACGCTACCACTACTACTATCGAGATTCCCGTGGAGAGCTCCGCGACTACGACTACTTCTACCAACTATGGAGATCCTTCCTGGAAGGAGAGCTCCGCGAAGGAGTTACAGAGAAAAGGTAAAGTTTTGACAGAGTTGTTCTGTGTTGATTTTGTTGTCCCTTCTCTCTTCTTGCTCCACTGCTTTTATTCGAAAAACTGCTTCGTAGTCTTCACGCAACTCCGTGTCAACTGCTTCGTCGTCCGGAGAACTCCCACGTGTCTCAACCGCTTTGTTCCTCAAACTGCTTCGCGTGAACTTTACGTGAGTTGTTTTCATGATCCCGCGATGTCGTTTCCTTTCCCAAACAACTCCGTTTGCTTTTCCTTTTGCGACATTATTTTTTATTAAACACTGTCGTTTGCTAGTACAGCGGTACCGTTGGGTTTGCTCGCGGTACCGTCTTTAATACTACGACCCCGTTTTAACTCTCCGCGGTGCCGTTTTAATTCTTGCGGCATCGTTTTATCGTTTTAAATCCGCGGTACCGTTTTTATTTTCCGCGATGCCGCTTGTCTCCATGCGACTTCTCCCTTTTCGGCAAGGAATAAAAATAATAATAATAAATACTCGTTTTTCAACACCAATACTATGTGCGCGGCCCCATCCTGTTTTCTGATAAACAATGTCGTTTCCAGTGTCGCGGTACCGGTGAGCTTCCTTGTGGTACCGTTTTTCTGATCCGCGGTGTCGTTGGGTTTATTCGCAGTGCCGTTTTTAGCCAAACGACACTGTTTCTCAGTCTCGCGATGCCGTCGAGCTTTGAGGTTCGCGACACCGTTTTATCTCTTTGCATCATTGCTTGACTCCAAACGATGCTGTTACTCTCCTCCTCCGACAAGGAAAAAATAAAATAAAAAACATTCATTGTCCAACAGCAACACATGTCCTGCGCATGACTCACATGGTCTGCAACCAATGTCGTTTCAAATACCGCGATACCGCCGAGCCTCTTCGCGGTCTCGCTTAAATTCTCCGCGTACTGCTCGGCGGCGTTGTTGACGAGGATGTCGATCCTGCCGTAGGCGTTGGTGACCTCGTCGACGGCTCTCTTGCAGTTCTCATCGAACCCCAACTCGCCAGGAATGGCGATGGGGTCCTTGGCGTCAGGGGTTTTGGCCTTCTTCAGCAACTGGAGGACGTCTTCTGCATCCTTGTCTTCTTTCCCCTTCACGAACGTGATGGCAACTGTGGCGCCTTCCAAGGCGAAGGAGTGGCAGACTGCTCGCCTGAACCCTGAATCGCCACCCGTCACCAGCGCCACTTTCCCCTGCAGTGTAAGCACCCCCCATAACCAAACAACTCTGATCAATTGCAATTCGAAAGAGTAGTAGCCTCAATTGGCCGGCATACATCAATGTCGTGGGTTATTAGCTGGTTTGAGAAAATATTTGAGCATTATAGGTGATTCTTTCCATGAGATTGAATGTATCTATATCTCCAAAATTAGACCAACATTTTCGCAAAAGGGGAAGAATTAACCTGAAGCTTGTTTGAGGGCTTGTAATCAGGGCTGGAGAACTGAGGGGTGGGGTCCATAACATGTTCTTTCCCAGGCTGATCCTTCTGCTGTTGGGGAGGGAAAGTCTGATCGCTGCCACCTGAAGCCATTCTCACAAACTGACACGATCTGGAGCTTCTGTGGCTAGCAGGGAATAGTAAAGCCGGGAGTAGTGCTGTTTTGTAGTAAGTTCTGAACAATGGGATGATTGATCGAGACGTGGAGACGATGACACTAACTTCCTAGACAACAACATTCCCTTTTGTAGCTGAGAAATCCTTAAAGAAGGGGACTTCTTTATAAATGGAAAAAGGCAAGGATGACACGTGGAGATGTAGGTGGCAGGAAGCAGGACCGTGTACGTAGTGAAAGAGTCGCATGCAGCGGACACGTCTGTGGAAACGGGACGCTATTCTTGGACGTTCTCTCGTTCGAGATCAGATCGAGAAGAAGGATGACTCTCAGGTACTCATGTTTTGGCTTATTCGGTAAGTGCATAATCTCCTTTCTTTTTCTTTGTAGTGTCCAGCTTCAGGAATTTGCTGCACATTAAGATCAGAACGTAAATTCTTGACGTATTACAGAGTGGAAAAGCTTAAGTAGTGATCTAGAATGTTTGGTGTAGTTCCTGAGGCGGACTAACAAAGGATCTAAATTTCCTCTGCATGGTTGCCACGTGGAAAGTAGTTGGGTTTTGTACATCTGTCAATTTCAGTGGCCAAAGACCAAGGGCAATACCTTGTAAGCTTTTTCTCAAACCCCCAAGAGATTATATAATAAGTTGGAACATGTATGTATGCTAATTATACTCTGTTTGGATCCTGAATCTTCTCAGTTTTATAACAAGCCATGGCTAGTCATTACTAAGGAGTATGCTGATTTCTGGAAAGCGGTACATATTGATCCTGGTGGAGGTGCGTGGGTCTCCTTTTGGAATGATCCGTGGTTGCCGAACATGATTCTGGCGGACGCTTTCCCTAGAGTCGCTGTTGCCGCTGCTCGGCCCGACGCCTGGATCTCGGAGACAATCAAACAGACAGGTGAGAGTGTGGGTTGGGATATTGTTTTGAATAACAGATTGAGAGGGGGTGCGGAAAGAGAGAGGGAGAGTCTTATGTTCCTTTTGAATAATGTTGATTTACCTAAATTGGTGTGTGGTCCAAGCAAACTTGTTTGGACTCCAAATCCCAATTCTACCTTTTCTGTGAGTTCAATGTACAGGTTTTTGCATGAGGGTCTTTTCCAGGGGGTGGATAATTTTCCGAGGAATTCTGTGTGGAGGAAGTTGATCCCCTCAAAGATTAATGCTTTCATGTGGACCGTTGCTCACAAGAAGATTATGACGGTCGATTCAATCCAAAGAAGGGGGTTCATTTGGCGAACAGGTGCAGCTTGTGCTATAAAGAAGAGGAGTCAGTTGATCACATCTTCACCAGATGCGCTTTCGGTTATGAGCTGTGGGCTGGTGGAAGGAGGATCAACCGATATCTGTACATGCCTCAAGGGGACATTTTGGAAGTCATCCGTAGTTGGAATGATGAGCAGCCGAGCTCCTTAGGCGATTGGTTTCGATATTGCTTTCTCCATGCTGTCTGCTGGCAGTTATGGTTAGAGAGAAATAGGCGAATATTCAGGGATGATGGCAACAGCTCCTCGGTGGTTTTGCAGAAGACGGTGAGAGCGATTGCAGAGTGGTTGGTTGCTCATGGCAAAATGAGTAGGGAACAAGGCGTAAGCTGGTTCTCCATGTCGCGGGCGGAGCTGTAGGTGGCCTCCGCTGCTGCCTTGCTCATGTATCTGTTCTGTCCTCCTGGACTCGGCTTGGTGTCTTTGTTCTGTTCCTTTTCTTCTCTGTTCTTGTCTTTTGAGTGTTTCTTTTTGCTGCTGTTCTTCCGTCCTGCTTTGGTTTTGTTTATTTTTGTTTTGTTGGCCATCGAGGAAACAGGGGCCTTCTGGCGGGCCTAGTTTCCTGGTTTGGCCTGGACAGCTTCGCACTTCTCGTGCAGGCCTGTTGTATGAACTTTTTTGTTTCGTTCTTGCTGTTGGTAATATTCAGATCACCCTTATCAAAAACAAGCCATGGCTAGTCTCAAATCTACCATCTTCTTCTGCTTCCTCCTTCAAGCCCTCCTTTTGCTGCCTTCCTCTGTCCATGCCAAAGATGGTACTGTGTAATTGATCAATTTCCTTTGCTTTCCATTACAAAGTTTCAATCTTTCCATTCAGCAACTACGCCAACTCAGCAACTACGCCAACTCGATGGATAAGTGCGACATTGGGATCAACCACACGAGAGAGGGAGTTATGCTGGCGCCTGCCGGTGTGCGTCTGTAAGTTGGTGCCAATCCTTGTCCTTACACACTACACTCGGACACAATTCGCGAGGTACGTCGACGACACCCGGTTCGTCGGCGCAGGGCTTGGTGGTTGTGCGTGCTTACTACTGGGACTCCAGGCAGGATTTTTGCCCGAGCCCACCGTTCGATCCCGATGGCAGGGTTCAGTGGGTTTTCGTTGCTGGTAGGAATATTATGCTGCTTTGGCTGTTTGTTTGAGATAAAAATGGAGGGGACTTGTGATTTTCTATGTTTTTGGGCATCTGTTTTAGAAGTGATGTGGTTGACCTTCATTTAAAGTAGTGGTGAATGTCTGATTTGTTAGTCTGTATAGGGCTTGGCCCATTTGTATAATTGTACATACGTAGTAGCCTTGGTGTTCGGCCCATGCTCATGCATTACGTAGACTTTGGGGCTGCATAGTCTAGGGTTTCAGTAGTATATATTCTCCCTGTACCCATCGCTCCCGGTAAGCTGAATAAGAGATCTCTATTCCCGTGGACTAGTCGGTATTGCTCACGGCAATACTGGAAACCACGTAAACCCTTTGTTCATTTAGGTTCCAGCTCACAGGTTTGCTAACATGGTATCAGAGCTTACGGCAATAGATTCTCAAAGGCTCTCCGTTCGGCTCAACCACAAGAACTATGCTTTGTGGGAATTCCAGTTTCGTATCTTCGTTGAAGGACAAGGATTGCTGGGTATTCTCAATGGTACGAATAAGAAGCCGGTGGCTCCGGCTACGGAACAAGAAATCACACGCTGGGGGCAACATGATGCCCGGATCCGCTTCTGGTTGCTTGGATCGGTCGATCTAGCGATTGCCCTCGGTCTTCGGCTGCATACAACGGCCCATGATATGTGGGCGCATCTCGCCTCTACGTACTCTACGGTCAACACGGCGCGGCAATTTGAACTTCAAATAGAGTTGGGCCGCTTGGAGCAAGGCAGCAAGGATGTGGCATCTTATTTCAGTGCTGCACAGGAGTTATGGATTGAGCAGGATTTGCTAACGGCAGCCTTGCGCTCAAAGGAAGCGTCCGCAGAGGTCATGGAGGAGCGTCCGCAGAGGTCATGGAATTTTGGTTTCTTCGTCTAGTGGCCCTAGAATCTTTGATAAACTTTTGCTGCAGAATAATAAGCTTTATCATTATCCATCTTCATGTAAGATTAGGCTTGTCCAAATCAGTGGGCCAATTCGACTAGCTAAGCATGAAGCTTCGAAGTTTTAGGTCTATTCCTGATAGGCATCCAGCATCCTATAAGGAATGGCACAATTTTGCTCTACCAAATTCTGGCAGTTCTGTTGGAGGTTTCATGTTTGTTGTTTTATGCTGCCTGGTTCTGGGTCTGGCTTGTCGGTTGTATGATGGATGTCTAAATCTGAAGAAAAAGAAAAGAGGAGGATAGGAAAGAACCGTGGGCTACTGAGCCCAAAACGAGTTAGGAAAGTGCCGTGTAGACTGATTAACGCGCCGGCCACCCAGGTTTTTTTGAACCGATCGCCGCCGTGGCAGCCGTCGTTGAAGACCCTTTTATAAGGACGGACAACGGGACAAGGCAAAAGTAGAAGAAGAAGTTAGTCACGTTTTTCAGTAAATAAATACATTTTCGGTAAGGCAAAAATGTCTTACCAAAAAAAAAAAAAAAACATAATAAGCGTCATAACGCCACGCCGATACATAAAATCCAAAACCCCGTTACTCTTTCTCTGAGTTTCTCTATTGATCTCTCCCCGTCACTTTCTTTCTCTTCCCATACCGTATGATCCCGAACCTCTGCAACATCGGTTTCCTTCCTCCACCTGCCAACCTCTCTCTCTCTCTCTTCTCATTTCCCACATTTACAAACAAGAAAACGGCACTCCCTGATCACCTCTCCTTCCACAGCAAATTCCTCATCTCTTTTCTCATTTTTTGGGGAAGTGAAGAAAACAGAGGGCAGCGATGGGCGATTTCGAATCTCTATCGGAAGCTACCTCTGGAGCAATAGGATCGCTGCTCAGCACCACGATTTTGTATCCGCTCGATACCTGTAAGACCAAGTATCAGGCCGAGGTTCGCGCCCATGGCCAGCGCCGATACAGGTTTGAGCTCTTCCTCTCCCTCTCTCTCTCTCTCTGCTTCTTTTTTCTCTTTCGCCTTTGTGGTTGATCTGGGCGGCGGCGTCACTGTCTGAATCTTGTTTTTTGGTCGAGAGGTGTGACCTTGCCGTCTAGTTTCCGAATTTCCCGAATTGGGTCGATTCCAATACTTTGGTGTGGTTTCTTGGTGTAGAAACCATCAAAGAACTGCACTTTTGTTTTCTTTCTTTCTGGGTTTATTGAGTTTTTGGGTAAAAGGTTCTGGGTTTTAGCTTACTCTGTTTTCAAGGGGGATTGATTCGATTGAAATTCAACTAGCTCGTTGTTATGAGAATGGAAAGCTGGACATAGTTGAGACCTGTAACCTCATATCTCTCTGATGAATTTCCCCTGAAAATCGAGTTGGTTGGCTGCTTCTGGTTTTACAATGAATTTTCAATTCTTGAGCAGCGGAAGACTTCTTCTTGAGTCATGATTGAACAGCTGGAGATTTTGCCACCCTCACTTTGATGTTAAGTTTGTTGCTATCTTGGTTTTCATTTTGTCTGTTTATGGTTTTTTCTTTTTTCTTCTGTAGGCATCTATCAGATGTTCTATGGGAAGCAATATCAAATGGACAATTCCTGTCACTATACCAAGGTTTAGGAACAAAGAATCTCCAGTCCTTTATCTCGCAGTTCGTTTACTTCTATGGATACAGCTACTTCAAGAGACTGTACCTTGAAAAGAGCGGTTCTAAGAAGATCGGAACTAAGGCGAACTTGCTTGTTGCTGCTGCTGCAGGAGCATGCACTGCGATTGCCACACAGGTGAATCCGTCCCTCCATCATACGAGAAACAAACCGGCTTTCCGGTTTCGTTGTGTATATCACCTCATTGGTTTGGTTCTTATGTTGCATTTGTAGCCATTAGACACTGCCTCCTCGAGGATGCAGACCAGTGCATTTGGCAAGTCCAAAGGGCTTTGGGACACACTGACCGAAGGTGACTGGAGTAATGCATTTGATGGCCTCGGTATCTCTCTCTTGCTGACGTCGAACCCTGCAATTCAGGTTGGTGTGACTGGCTTCATTAAAGAGATTTTAAGGGTTGCTTGGATGTGGGAAATGTTCGATAGAAAAGTGATGGATTGTCACAGGATTTGAAAGATGGATAGATTATAGCACCTATGGGTTATGTTTGGATGTTTGGACTGAAGTGCAGAATTTAATAAATGGATTGTGACTAAAATGTAACTGAATTCAACATAAAAACATTCTCTAAGCGAATCTAGAGGAATGAATCTCTAAAGCTTGTGCCTACTTGTTTGTGTGTAGTATACAGTGTTTGATCAGCTCAAACTGAAGCTTCTGAAGGGGAATCAAGCTAGTCTTTCTGCATTCACAGCATTTCTCTTGGGTGCATTGTCGAAGAGCATTGCTACCTGTTTAACTTATCCAGCAATCAGGTGCTTATGAACCCTCTTCTTTAAACTCCGGTTTCAAGTCCGTGGTCATCACGAGAGAGATGGGAATAAGCAAACTCGAGACCTGTTGTTATTTCAGATGCAAGGTGATGATTCAATCTGCAGAGGCCGACGAGAACAATCACGATGATGATGATGATGCCGAGAAGAAGAAGAAAGCCAAGCGGAAGGCAAGCAAGACACTGTCAGGAGTCGTGTTTGCCATATGGCGGAAGGAAGGAGTGACAGGGTTCTTCAAAGGACTGCACGCTCAGATCTTGAAGACGGTGCTGAGCTCGGCTTTGCTTCTGATGATCAAGGAGAAGATCGCTGCCACAACTTGGGTTGTTCTACTTGCAATCAGAAGGTCACTCTTGGCTCAGAATGGTAGGCTAAAAAGTGCTTGAGGAAGAGCAAATTATGCCATGTAGTTGAGGGGGGGCTTTGATGGTTTGTACATATTCAATAGCTCTATGAGAAAGGCAGAAGCAATCCGAGTATAGTTTTCCCACTACGGGAAAAAAGGCCTCTTGCAACCCCCAGAAACGTGTTGCAAGAAGTCATAAAAGAGTTGCAAAATTTTAACGCAACACTTTTAGTAGGGTTGCATATAGTGGGGGTTGCAAAATGAATAGGCAACAATTTTTCCATTTTTCGCAACCAAAATTAAAAGGGTTGCAATTTATTACCTCTTGCGCAACACCATTTCACGCAACGCATTTCAAACTTTTTGCAACACATTTTTCAAACATAGGCAACATTTTTTACAAGTTTTCTCAACATATATAATTATATTTGTGACGAGTCTTAATCGTCACAAATGACTAACCCTGTTGTGACAATTTTGTGGGTAACAAATAGTAATATTTTCGTGACAATGCTATCGTCAATAAAGATACCTTTTGTGACAATTTAATGACGACACTAAAATCAAAATAGTGACATGTTCAAGTGTCACAAATAATTGTTATCTATCACTATAGTTTTGTCACAAAAACACATTTTGAAATCGAAGGTAGGGATCCAGGGGACAGATTTGTTGTCACTAAAGTGACTATTTGTGACATATGCAACACTATGTGTGATGAATTAGGTTCGTCACTGATAATGTACATTCATGACTATATGAATGTCACTACAGGATATCGATCATTTTAATGAAAAAAATTTCATCAATGAAGCAACGTTATTATACAATGCATGTTGCCACAAAAAAGATTTTAAGTGACAAAGTTTGTTGTCACTTCTCATATGAGCTGCAACAATTTTTCTTATGACTAATTCAAAGGTTTGATGGCGTGATTCTCTCACAAACCATGCAATCAACAAAGAAGTATTGTTGTGACGAGAATGGTTACAACATAGCAGACAAAAATATCTTTGAACTCTATTGTTATTAGAAGATACTAAATAGTATTACATAAAACTTAAAACCATAAATGCATGGGAGACTGATGAGGTTCTCTCTTGTCATCGTCAATTTGGAGAGTTAATTCCGAAGACAAAAATTCTTCCATGGCTTTCAAATGCTTTCCTCAAGGTCAGTAAGGTGTACTTGCAACTTCTTGTTTTGCGCTCCTAATTGTGCCTCTAATCGTAGATGATATTCTTAACTCGACTTTACCTCTGAATGGAAGGAGACAAGAAAATCCGATGAGAAAGCATAGTAACCGTCAGCAAAGGAGAACGCAGATTATATAAGCACCGTACCACAAGAGCACAGAAGAGTAGAGACGTAGGTTGATTACGATCGACGAGCATGTCGAAGAATCAGATGAGTCGGCCGATCAGGATTCCACCCATGGAGATTGGTAGGCGGCTGGGAAAGATGAGAGGAAGGGAGGTTGATTGGGAATTTTTTATAGTAGTAGACTGAATAACAAATTCAGAGCTTTTGTAATTGTGGAGGGTTTATGCCCTTAGGCGGCGTGGAAAGGCAAGAGAAGGGCTTCTGTAACTTGATACGATAACATGTTAATGTGGTAACTAATTCGAGATGAAGACAAACGTAATCCCGCCAGATCTTCTCCTTCCCAATATATTTTTTTTTTTTTTTTGTCTACCCAATATTTGGGTTTATCTCTTTGTAGTTAGTTTGTATTACAATATAATTTAAGCAAGCGAATGTGGACTGCTGAAAATAAGACCCATCATCATCGAGAAAGAAAGCTATGATTATTCGAGGAGGTATGACGTTACTAATTAACCGAAACACTGGAACTAATCTGATTATCCGGCCTTCTCTGCGCTGCTTGAGAATTTTTAGGTAGGGGGTTCACGCCGGAGACTTTATCTCGAGCAGGGGAATTTCACGAAGAGAAGTATGAGAAAATTGTCTCAATTTTGGTAAAGTTTGGAGAAGTGAATTCTTGCTTGATTAAAGATATTTTCACATGAATAATTTTCAAAAGTTTGTGTTTCTTGTTGCAGTGAATTTCATAAGTTAGTTGTCACATATAACATGAAAAGTGACAACTCTTTTTTGTCATACTTGTGATGATTTTAACCAATATATATTAGAAGTTATCAATACATACCTTTTGCAGCTTAATTTGTTAAAGTGTTGCTTAAAATATACAAATAGGCAACAAAAAAATCATTTCTAATATAAGTGTTGCATAAGGATAACAAGCGCAACCCATTCTTTTAAGGTAATTAATTTTGGTTGCGTAAATGATCTAATACGCAACTCTAAAAAAATGTGTTGCTATTATATATATAACGCAACACTTTAAAATAGTGTTGCAATCCAAGTGTTGCAAGAGGTCCTTTTGCATGTAGTGTCCAGGTTCAGTATCCACGAACACACACATAGCTGGAGGAATAATTTGACGAGAGCAACGTACAATTTCTGAAACTGACGCTGATTGTTGGAACTTTAGGACATTTTCATTGTTCTTGGTATTAATTGTTTAATCTTGTTCGAACCCATTAGAATGCCAAGACGATACAACTTGCCATGCAATCATAAAATTAAATCAATACAAATTAAGGGTATCATATAATTACTTTATTGTAAAAAAAATTACTTTAATAGTTAGGTTAATAGTTAGATTTTGAATATAGTTTTGAATAACGAACTTACCTCTTTATTATTTTTTTAGACAAATGTACCTTTCAACTATAAATTTGTAACGAATGTGACCTTCTGTCAACTTTATCAATGACCGTTACAGAACATGTGATATGTCCAAGTTGTTCTTTAGTTTAGGCAAAATATACTTTTATAACCATAATTTTCACGTTTATGACAAATATAGCCATACCTATCGGAAAACACAAAATAACTCAAAAATTGGATAGTAGTGTGATAAATCTAGCCATTTCCATTAAAAACTTGAACGATGTTATAGACTCCATCAGTTCTGTTGGCGATACGCTGACTAGGACGCCAAATCAGCGTACACAACAGCGATAAATTAGTATCAAATGACACTTAGACAACACATCATATTTACTTAAAATATTTAATCATAAACAAAAAAATTAAAAAAAAAACAAAGGGCTAAATTGCAAGTTGGTCAATGAAATTACTAGAGCATCTCCATCAATGCAATTGCAAAAGAAATTGCATTTGTGCTTTTTATTGTCAACTCAAATTTTTTGCAATCCACATCACATTCATTTCATTCACCTACATCAATGCAATTAACTTACAATTGCAAATGAAATTAAATATTATGTTAAAATTATAGAAAATTAAGTAAAAGAGAAGAAAATAATAAAAAATTCCCTTTTTTAGGTTTTTTTTACTTGCTTATGGAATTGCATTTGTTGCAAGCTTGCAAATATGCAATTGGTAGTTACATCAATGCAATTGATTTTGCAATTGCAAACACCTATTCCATGTCATTTTGCAATTGAGAATGCAATACCAATGTGGATGCTCTAAAAAATTCGTTTGCCACTAAAATTAATTTATTCCATCCGTGGTCACTAAAATTAGTTCAACAGTTCAAGTTTGGTCACTCTTTGTTCACTTTCGCTGATGTGGCAGTCAACTCTAATCGTTGACCGTTAAATATGTGACGTGGCTATTAAAAATAATATAATAATAAAGTTTAATTATTTAAAATTTCCACCTCAATTTTACATTCATTAAAAAATAAAAAATAATTTAATTTAAAAAAATAGTTCTCCCCCGCAACAACGCGGACGACAATGGCGGCGGGTTCAGACGACCGAGGCAGATTCCAGTTAGATTCAGCGCCATCGTAGGCGTCAATCATGTTCAGGGAGCCGCCTCGCCGTCGTAGTCACCTTCGCCACCTTAGCGGGCTGTGGTGATAACTAAATTCAGCACAGTTTCGCCGTAATTGAAGACCAGAATGACGACCTATGGGTTCTCGATGACGATTACGACCCTCCGGCCGCTGCTTCTTCGTCGTCCTCTCTCTTCAACTCTTACTCCTCTTCCCAAAATTTATTAGGCTTGCTTCTTCCCCTCGTGATTCATTCTTCTTCGCTTCTCTCTCCCCCTCCCTTTTATTGTCCCAGCACCATTCCCATACCCGGCCCTATCGCTGATGGAATATCTTCGGTGAACTATATTTCCTCTCGACAGTAACCGCCGGCAGAGTGACCCGCAGGTTTGGTAACTAGCTCAGCTTAGCTCCGGTTAGTGTCAATTTTTTTGGAATGGCGTCTACCTTCCGTTTCTCCATCTTGGCGCATCTAGGGCGGGGGTTTTCGATTATGGTTCTGTGCTTCTCGCGTGGCTTCTTTTTTGGAATGGCTTCTTACTACCTCTCCCTATTTCTTTACACCCCTTTTCCGTAGATGGAAGCTGCAAATCAATTGGGTTCAACTGCTCATCCCAGCGTAGCCCCAAGCGCCATGCCGGGCACCGCATCTCCTGGCACCTTAGGCCGTTATCTAGCTCGTCGGCTAGCCAAGATCGGAGTTAGCGACGTGTTCTCTATTCCGGAGGACTTCAATATGATGCTACTCGACCATCTGATAGCCGAGCCGGAGCTCAATCTCGTCGGCTGCTACAACGAGCTCAACGCCGGCTACGCCCGAGCTAAAGGAGTTGGCGCCTACGTTGTCACGTTCACCGTCGGGGGTCTCAGCGTGCTGATGCTATAGCCGTTTCTCCATCTTGCCGGAGAAATTACTGAAGAAAAAATCATATTAGAAGAAAAAAACTAAATTAAATTATTTTTAAATTTTTAATGAATGACCCCAAAATTGGTTTGCTGAAATGATATTACGTTTAATTTTTTTAACATTTTTTTAACATTTTTGTACCAAAAAATGTACAAAATTTTTGTCCCAAAAAATGTACAAATTTTTTTTTTACATTTTTGTACCTAAAATTTAATTTTTTATATGAAAAATATCATTGGAAAATTACGTTTTGGTACCTAAAAATTTTCATTATGACATTTTAGTACCTAAATTTTTACATTTTACGTATTGGTTCTTTGTTGAGGATGTCATTTGGATTCATGGATAATTCACCAATCCACTTGATCTAATCCATTTGATCAATGAATTCACCAATCCAATCCATTTGCCACCTCTAGTTGGATGACATTAGATGGGAAAAAAAACTTTCCTATCACTATCTTCTCTAATTCTGTTCTAGTTTCATTGAATATTGTTTATTCGCTTCATGTTTGGCAGACATGGAGTATAAGACTAAGAGTGTTGTATCTCATGTAAACTTGGATATCTTAATATGCAAGTTACATGCATATATATATATATGGTAAACAAAATAGATGAAAACATTTAAAGAGAATGCAAGAATATAGACAGATTACCGAATCATAATAAACAACACAAGATTGGTTTGCTGAAATGAGGCTTACATTCCTCATAATCTAGTCTTGTTTTCAAACCCATTACTAGGCATGAAATGCACAAAGTAACTATAAAGTGCATTTTATGATCCAACGACCATTACGCAAGATAAAAAATTGACGACAAGTCCTGTCAAATAATAGTTTATCTTTCCACTAGCTTTTTACCCGGCCTTTGGCCTGGATTTTTTAATTTCTTTTTTCATAAAAAATTTATTAAAATTTAAAGTAATATTCTCTTGATCATTATTGAGAAAACTCAAAAGTAAGAATTTATTTATAAAAATGATATATGTTTAGCTTTATTCTTACACGTTATTTATAAAAATGATATATGTTTAGCTATCGTCCACCTTCATGTTAGAATTTTGTAGTCTGATTTGTATTGTGTATTTCACAAAATTGTTTAATATTTATATTAACTAGTACGTGTAACAATAATTTATCTTATCATTTTATCCAACGTTCAAGTACGACATGATTCTTTTACCTATTTATCAATAGTTATTGACGAAGTTAAGTATTAATTGCATCATTTGCTTGTGCTTCTCTCATAAGCCTCCTCTCTCAAACCAACTATTAGTATTAAGAATGTCCAAAACATTCTATAGTTTCTCAATTATATGCGACGAATTTTAGTCGATAGTTTTGTATTTCAACAAAAATTCTATATCCACCTTCAATTTATAAAAAAAATTGGAACACGTGCTTATGTTATGATTTGAGAAAACTTAAAATGATGGATTGATAAATCATTTTAATTCAGGACGATTTTAGAAATTTTGGGACATATTTAGTTGTTCATATCATATATTCATATTTTTTAGCTTGGAAGTAGAAAAAACACGAATATGAATGAGGGTTAGCACATGCTAATCTCATTAATGATCCTTAATATTTTAATCTCCTATCCAACGATAGATATTGATACATATAGTTTTGGAATTTAAAAATTAAGTCTGACTTTAGATTTAAATTTCACAACAAAAATATTAATAGATTTCCTCTCTCTCCCAGTTTTCTCTTCCCGTAAACAAAAGTTAGTTTAAAATGAAATAAAATTATCAACAATTTAAATTTTAAATTGAACGAAAAAATCTAACAGAATTTTCCCTCATGGTCTCTTTCTCTTTCCTCTCCTTTCTTCTTTTTTTTTTGGTCAGACCTCTCCTTTCTTCTCTCTTCACATAAACGAATACGTTAATTTAAAAATAAAATAGAATAATAAAGCGGTTAATCATCCGGGGAAAAATAGGCGGAGAAATTACCGGGGAAAAAAAATAGGCGGAGAAAAGGAAAAAAAGCTGTGCTGACGTGGCTTCATGATATCGTAAGGAATTTGAAATGCAGGAGGCCTTTTTGAGAAACTCTTTAATATATTTTAGGGATACAACAACCTTGATAATAATTAATACCTTTGTACGAACAACCCTTAATGATAAATTAGTTAAATAAGCTTCCTTTACATAGTAGGATTAATTAACTGAATCCGTAATCGTAACTGGAAAACAACAAACTATTATCATTCCAAAGTCCTTTCCCTAATATAGTAACCGAAAGGATTGAAGGAGGGGGGAAACAAGAAAAAACTCCAAAGCTGGAAGATAAAAAATCAAATGAAACTAAATAATTAATTGCCATTGAAACCCATCCTTATTCCGGACGCCAAAACGGAAACCATAGGGCTAATGATTCTTATTATCTTACCAAAACCCCTTCCGTAACGGGATTTCCCATACTAATTATCATTAATCCTTCCTTCTTCGCCTGATGATAACAGTAATTATAAATGATAACAATAATCACTATAAGATGTAACTGGCACCAAGTCTTTGGGAATAAATAAACTAATCCCCACCAAATTCCCCACTAAGTGTAACCGGTCCTTCATTTAGTGTTTTAACGATAGGGAATAATAAATTAACCCGAACTTAATTCCCAAGTCTGCAACCGAAAAATTAAAGTGTAAAATTCAGACAAAAAAAAAACGTGAACAAAACGACCGGAAAACTTTCGGAAGTCTCCGATCAAGACAACCGGAATAAAAATCAATGACCGGATAAATTTTCTGGAGACGACGGAAAACCAACTGAGACTAGATCCTAATACACAATAGATCCAG